CGCCTTCCATGCCTCGATCGGTACTCCATCTGAACCAGCTGCCTTTCCAACCTTCATCTTCCCTATTGCTATGCGTACTTCATCCCCTGCCCAGAGTTTGATAGGGCCAGCCGTTGCCTCCAAGTGGGAGCTGTTTTCACGGGCAAATTCTCCGTTGAGGAGCCTGTCGAAGTATTCCTTCAACCTACGCCTGACCTCCTCAGGCTTGCTCAGGATTGCACTCTCTCTGTTCCTGATGGACTTCACTACCCCGATGTCCTGAGTGGCACGGTGACGCGCTTTCGCCAACGGAAGACGAACTTCTCCCCTTCTCGACTGTGAAGTTTTTCATGCAAGGCGTCCATTTCCATGTTCTTTGCCTTCGCCACAGCAGCCTTGGCGAGCCTCTTGGAAGTTTTGTAGGCAGCTAGGTCCTCTAGAGCTCGTATCTTTTGCCAACGTTTGTAAGCCAATTTCTTCTCTCTCACAACTCGCTGGACTTCATCGTTCCAGAACCATGCTTCCTTGTCTCCCCGGAAACCACCTCGAGTTTCTCCCAGCGTTTCTTTTGCACATCCTAGGATGACCTTGACAGCGTTGCTCAAGGTCTGCTGGATCGGACCCTCGGGATCTGGAAGCCCAACTTCCAGTATCTTTTCTCTGGAAAGTTCTCTTTCTAGTCGGTGCAGCCTCCACCACCGGATCCTCCGTTCCGTTCTTGTCCTTGATTCCTTGAGAAGTTCGATGGCTACAGTACCTTGATGTCTTTTACAGTTTTGAGGGACGACCTTCTTACTAGCACATGATCTATTTCCGTTTCGTTCCCTCCACTGCTGTAGGTTACCTTCTGAGACTCCTTTTCGCGAAGAAGGTGCTGCAGACTGCCATGTCATGGGCCATGGCCAAGTCGAGAACCCTTTCTCCTTCTTCGTTTCTGACTCCTATTCCTCTACCTCCATATACCCTTTCCAGTCCCCTCCTTTCACTGCCGACGTGCCCATTCATATCACCTGCTATGGTGAGGTAGTCTTCCTCTGGAACCGATCGGATGGCCTCGTCAGGGTTCAGATAGAACTCATCCTTTTCGTAGACGGGGCAGCCGGCTTGTGGTGCATACACTGATGTTATTGTCCAGTACCCCTCCGTGTCTATCCTTACAGCCGTAACTCTGCTACTGATCCTACTGACGGCGGAGACGGAGTCTTTGAGGGACTCCGCTACTGCTATGGCCACGCCATTTCGTTTGGTGTGATCCCCATTGTAGTGAGTCTAACATCTTCTCCGATTTCTCTGGCCTTTGCTCCCTTCCAGCGGATCTCCTGGAGGCATAGTTTGTTATGACTGGGTTTCTCCATCAGCCGGCCTGTCAACCTGGCCTGACGCTGGTACCGATACCATTTTTGCAATTTTTGCAAGGCATGGAGTTGCCTCGGCAGGGATCGAACTCGCACTCCCTCTAAGTGCAGACGTGAGCCTACTCTTAGGCTCACGTCTGCAACATACATCAATCCTAGCAGCAGATTTACAAAAAACGTTCAACGATAAAGTGTAAAATTTTATTATTCATATCTTCATAGTTTGGTCATCACTTATGTAAAAACGTTCCTTGATTCCACCCGATTTTCACTCAAGAACGAAAACTGGCGGTGATTTCTATGCTATGAATAGCTGTTTTCATTTTCAGATGTCCGCATTTATGGTTCACTACATGCGGTCACTGTGGAGCAACAGCTGATACGGCCCATAGTCCGGAGTTCTGCCCAGTAGCGAAATTAGCATCGCTTAATTTTCAAGAAAACTAATTCTAATAACGTACGTTTCCCTTCTGCTTGTCACTACCTACTTATACAGAATAATCGTTGGACATGGTCTCGTTTCAACTCCTAACCCAAATTTCAGATTGCGATGATCTAGGTTTTCTTGAGTGTTCTTTGAATATCCACATATTTGGCGCCGATCATGTTTTGCAGAGAGGCTTGTTTGTGAAAATTTCTGGTTTTACTCAGACAAATCAGCCCCTCAACTTTCATTTTGAAAATCTCACTGAAACAAATGATCATCTGGTGTTTTTGTGGGCTTTTCTTACTTCGAAGAATGCCTCACAAATCCTTATTCCTTCAGATAATTACCGATTGCACAGTCCGTTCCATCGTTCACGGTGAATTGGCAGCTAGTGTAACAATTCTTGTCATTGCCATTCCTACTCGAATGAAGCTCTTTGTTTTTACTTAACCGAGAAATAAGACGAAAGCAACTGAAGAATCAGTTAATTGGTTCGTGACGAAAGCCCTTGTCTCGCATTGCGACGGTTATAGACGCTGTTAGATCTAGTCGTCTGACATTATCGGCTATTCGCATATTTTCATGAAATCTGTGCGAAATATTAGCTCTCCAAATCGTAATCTCTAGGGGCACCGGCTGAAACGCACCGATGTTTTGCGAATGACCAGCCATGGCCTGAGGTGCAGTCCGGAAAAATGACCGAGCTTGTACATCCATTTAATCTTTTATCCTTACATAACAAGAAAGAACACAGGGATCACAGACAGAATTGAATGACGGTAATCACAAGTAAAAGATATCACAATAACATGTCGGAAAGGGTAGCCAGTCGAGTAATTAGAGAATCTTGGAGAAGTATTAGTCCTGCTCAAACAAATGTTGAGATTTAGAGGGATTTCAAGCGATTTCACATCCGTAGGTAAGGAAATTAACATACAGAAAAACGAACAAATATTACTAAAAACAGTGAGGAGTATAAGAGAAGTGGTCAAAGATGTTACCCATGTAGTATTGATTTGGAAGCCGTTTAGTTATACAAATTGAAGGGCGTTCATGGTTTAGAAACGACGGAAAAGCGGTGCATAACACAAAATACCACAAAATAGTTGGTTCTTGATTGGTTCTGCAAAACCCGTCAATACAGAAGTGTACAGTGATTATGGTTGAACGAAACGAGCTCATTTCGTTACTCATACAGTGAGGAGCGATTGACGAAACCATACCATTACTGTTTTAGAATGAAATACACTCAATTATTATTAACTTTGAACGCTTGCGCCGGCGCAAGAGCAGCTACATCTTTGTTTAGTTAGCACATATACTTTGCCGAGAAATTGAGCCTAAAAACAAAAATTGAAAAAAGGTGCTGAAAATGCGATTTTCGAAGTCTTTTCCACAATAACAATAAGGGAAGTATTTTCCACACTTATGCAAATCATTAAACCCCTAGTGACTTCCAACAGCTTATTCGTAATTTGATAAAATTAGAATTGAAATAAAATCGGATCAAAAACTCGGTCATTAAAAAAAAAACTCCAGAAAAAGTTTATAAGGCAAAGAGATTATTCTGCTAACAACCGCAATCGTGTTGCGGCTGCAGGAGTATTTAGCATATTCATGGTGGGCGCAGTGGGAACATTGCGAACGTACTGGATGGGTGTTGACGTTGATGCCCTCGTTGCAAAGAAGAAAAGCGGGTCATGGACAGAATTTTGACCCTACAACATTAAGGCTGACTAGCCCATTACGTTCAATGTGCACGTGTGAATAAGTTCCAAAAGTCACTGGAAAGGCGAGAGCAAGCGGCTGGTAGTGTAAGAAGTGAAAAGCATGTTGTCCGTGAAACACAAGGTCGGGTTCGAGTCACGAACGTGAACGATTTTTTGCACATAACTCGAAATCCTGGTTAAGTTCTCGTATCGCGTATTGCGATGAAATAGTAATAACGGTCAGTACGGCATTAATTTGAAACAGTGGTGGCTCAAGTAAGTAACAGTAGTCAAGTAATCACAAGTAGCTTTGTATCGCACACGCATAGTTACGAGTTCGAATCCCGGATCAATCTCCACTTAGGCCAACAAAACCTTCCATTCCTTCGGGGTTGGATAAATGCGCAGACTCTTTTTGGAGAGCAAAGGCTTTGACTTGTACATAGGCACAGGTCATTGTATAGGTCACATACGCATTCAATACGCTCTACGATTCTGAATGGAACTCGAACGCGGGGAGCATCCCTCAGACCGGCTGCAAAGCGCCAAAAGACTATTCTTCTAGGATTTGAGTGGTGAGGGTTTGAGTGATTCGAGGGGAAAGGTCAAGGATAGAAAGACGTTTACGCTGCCGCCTGACCATATGTGTGAGTTACATCGTTATCCATCCAGCAAGCGGGGTGTCGTGAAATCACCTTATAAGCTTGTTAGATCATTATCAGGTTGCTCTCCTACTGTGATTCATCGCTCCTCTCATACTGAAAATTTTTCTTCACAGTAATTTTCCTGCAAAAGAGATTTGCACAAAATGTACTGCGGTCCAATTTTAGTCAGATAGTTCGACAGAAGCTCGGCAGGTTGCAAACGTTATCATTTGAATAGCGCGCTTTGCAAGTGGAAGAATATGAAAATTTACCTTATCAACTACATGTACATGCCCTTGGAACACATACTGCATTGTCCGATTGTCGATGTCAGCCTCACCCAGGAATTCGTAGCCCTCATCCTACAATTGTTCCCTATAGGTTTCAGGTTCTATTTTTAGAATGCTGCTCAGAAGAGGCCTCAAAAGATCTTCTATAACGCACCTGGAAAACAGCCGGAGCCAATCTTGGGCTACACAGATTTGATGGCTCCCTCAGAGAAATTGCAGTAGATGCGTCAAGGTTCTTCGCCAAGACCCATACAAACCTTAACAGAATGATTTGTTCACAGCAAACAAAGCCTGATATATTTGGCTGAGAAGTCAATTTCATGGATCTGTTTCTTAGGATTTGTTGAGGATTGGTCTAAAAGGTTGGAGCAACTCAGACGTTGGATGGCTCTACATTGTGAACGTTGTGCACTTTTGTACACCTTTTGGAAGTATCTCACTTGAAGTTATTGCTCTCAGGTGACCCCACGTATTGCAGCAATCGGATCGTTTCTTTGGCCATGTCTGGTTGTGTCAGGTTCCTTATTCTGCCATTCTGAACGAAATTAATTAAAGCATACTAATAAGCTCAACATAACATAGAAACTCATGAATATTTATAATATGTGTCGAATGAGCCAAGTGACAGAGGTCAATAACTTCTGTAAACCGCTGCAGTTCCACTTCATGGGCAAAAGCACGAATCACGAGAAATTAATTTGCTTCTACTTGACTGCTAGCCTATTTCGAAATGAAGTTATATCTCATGTAATGAATAGATGTCAATGTATTGCTGGTGGCAAAGGCTGCTTTCATAATGGCTACTTTCAGAGTTCGACGACCGTTCGTCCGTCCGTCCGTCCGTCCGTTCAGCGCGTGCTGCGAAGGCGGTCGCTAGAGTAGTGTTGACAGCGCTGGCAAGTGATTCAGTGTGTCGACAACGGTCAGGTGCCGCCGTCGCGGCACGCCCTGAACGGACGGACGGACGGACGGA